TAGCTTCAGGCAATAAAACCCACAGAAAAGGAAGAGGGAGCAAGAGTGGTGGGACAAGGGTTGTGGAGTCCAGTGAGCTGGTTCTGCTGTCTCCCAATTAGCTTCACCGCAAGATATGTGTATAACGGCTATAGATAGTGGAGTCCAGTGAGCTGGTTCTGCTGCCTCCCAGTTAGCTTCACAGCAAGGTATGTGTATAATGGTTATAGAAGTGCTAAATAGAGTCCTCCTCATTTAGCTTGGGGAAGCAGAGAAATTCTCCCTTTTATAAAAATTCCCTTTCCCTGAACCTGTATTCTTATAGAAAAATGACACCTCAGAGGTTTCGGGACAATAAGAATGTGGCTCACAGATTCTGGGGAGCTCCTGTCGTCCCGTAGCATTTGGTAGATTGTGTAAATAGAGGCAGTTGAGCACGTCCACTCGGTTCAAAGCCTTCCCCACCCCAGGTCCTCAGGAACAAGCTGGAATGAAGTTTCACCCTGAGCAGAATAAACCTCCTGATTTAGTACTTCTCCTCCACTCTCATGCTTGCCTTGACTCCTTAATCTTCATGCAGGCAGCTCTCCGTGATGTTCAGGAGTGGAGATGTGGGTATGTGGGAGGAGTTCTGAGTTTGTTCCTGCTTTAAACAGTATTTTGTATAGAAGAAAACAGTAGAAGGAAGGAGATCTAGGTTCTGGTCTTTGCTACTGTCACCCTGTGTTACTGTCTAAGATGTTAATGTCTTTGAGTCTCAGTTACCTCTTCTGTGGGCCTCAGACAGCAAAGATTCTACCTGCAATGCAGGAGACCTGGGTTTGATCCCTGGGTTGGGAAGATTCTTGGGGAAAAGAATGGCTACCCACTCCAGTAGTCTTGCCTAGAGAATTCCATGGACAGAGGAGCTGGGCTACCGTCCATGGGGTTGCAAAGAGTCAGACATGACTAGGCAACTAAGTTTTTTTTTAACCTCTTCTGTAAAATGAGGCTAATACTTTTGGAATCCAGAGCCTAGGGAAGCAAATAATAATGACAGAAACCACAATTACAGCTACTAATGTCATCAGTATATATGGCAGGCATTCTGCCAAGGGTTTGAAGTGTGTTGTTTAATCTTTACCACAGTCCAATAATTTATTTTAAAAAGAAGAAAACTAGAGCAGAGAGAAGATGACTGCCTATAGTCCTATAACTAATAAGTGGTGAATTCAGCCTTAATTTATAGCTCCAAACAAACAGGATCAATCATGGTTGCCAATCCAGAAGTTTAAGCATCCTTTCGCATCACCACTACTATCTCCAGATAGCTGTGCGTAGCTGAAGAGATAACAAAAGTAACTGACTACAATAAAGACAGAATGAAAAAGAAATTAATGACCTTAATTTAGAGACATCAGAGAAGACTTGATCCAAAGAAGCCAAATTTAAACCAGACTGTCCTCCTTGACCTCTAAACTCTGAACCACTTGACTTCTCCCTCACATGCTGTTGTCAGGGATCCTAAGATATCCTTTTGTGCTTGTAGCAGAAAAGAGTATTATTATTTAACAGTCCCTGATATGATTCAGTTATTCAGTCTATGTCCCGTTTCACTAAACCATGGCCTAGAAAGTTTGTAATTACAGTATCTTTGGGTTGTTGTTTTTCAATACATTCCTTTTAATTATAGCGTTAAACCCCAAATGTCATGTTTCCAGTTTGGACCTAAGCCAAGCTGAAGGAGACATCCATTCAAAGCAAACAGGTGATAAGGAGACTGTGCAGTGAACTTCGGGGACTCTGTCCAATTGCTAGACCTCAGGCTTTATGTCCTCAAATCTAGAGCCTTAGAACAAGGGACCTGTGGCTGGAGTGGTGGATAAAGAAATGCCACATTTCCTGCTGCATCTGCTCCTCCCCAGAACACTCAGGTTTACTTTAGTTGTTTCCAGGAGTAGAAATTACTTATGTTATTCATCACAATTTAAATAATTAATAATTTCATTTGATAAGTAAATTGTCAATTGCCTTTAAAAATTGGTCTTAATAATTACTAAATCTTAAGGATTTCAACAACTTCTTCCATCTTGATAAAATAGGTATGAAGCCAGACTCTAATCAGACCAAAAGAATCTTGAAAGCTTTTGGGCATTTGCCTTTTTAATTGCTGCCTTTCTCTTTTTAGGCAACAGTAGAGGTAAAATGTTCCTTTTTTTATGGTAAGAATTTAGTTAATACCAAAACGTGTAATGAAGATTCCTTATAGAAACCTTCTATTAAATATGAAAATTTTTAAATTATTTTATTAAAAACCTATGCACTGTGTTTTTATACAGCAATACAACAGTTTAATATAAAATTTTAGAAATATCTTAAATCCACAAACATAAGGAAATGGTTAAGTAACTTTTGATATTTCATTTAATGGAGTAGCCACTTAGAATTGTTTACCAAGAGGTTTTAATAACTTCCAATAACAGGATACAGAACTGTGTGTATGTATATATATATATATATATACACTGAAAACACAACTTTCATTTTTTGTTTGATTGGTTTTGTATCTTTTTAAAATTAAACACATATATAAAAATCAAAGTCTACAAGGAAAATATCCAAATAGTGGTTATTTGATGGCCAATAGGCTTTTGACTGATTTTTAGTTTTTAATGTGGTTTATATTTTTAGTTGTCCAGGGAGAATAAATTATTATAATAATTTAAAATTCATGTGTGTTTGTATATATTTTAATACATTCAATGCTTGAGCTATTTAAAGCTCAGCTATCTTAAAAATTTGGAACATTGCTAAGGTCCTGGAAGTAATAAAAAAATTAATTCCAAGCAGCCAGAATTAATCTTACAAAACTCATATAATTATGCATATTGTACCCAGGATATCTGCTGGTCCATCTCTCAAATCCTGTTTATTCTTGCTTTGCACACAATTCTCAAGACAGCTACTTTATAAGAACACAACAAATAAGACACAAACATCAAAAAAAGAAGCCCTTGCAGGTAAGAACACTGACTTGGCCGCACGTAACAGCCTGACAGTGAGAGAGGACATACAAAAGCCTGAGTTCAGACTTCAGACTCAGAAACACACCCCTGAAAGGCCTGTAGTCACTCTACTATGTCATAGTAAGACGTGCTCATGCTGATGGCCCACAGTTATAAAGAAAATACCTTGTTAAACTGATAAATGAGTAGATACATGTATATGTATAACTGAATCACTTTACACCTGAAACATCACAACATTGTTAATCAACTATATTCCAAGATAACAAGTTTTTTTAAGTTTTTTTAAATTAAAAAATATATATCTTTATTGTTCAACTTGCTCTTTTTAAGATCATAAGAAAGACTAGTAAAAATTTTTGAAAGGTTTCATGGCACATAGCTACAAATGAGGGGAAAAAGACAGTGTGTGATTGTTAGGGTAAACATTAGACCTGTAGACTTCCTTATTTGTCTAATACCTCATCTTCTTACCATTCTTAAGAGGGAATGTTTTATTGTTACTTGGGTTTTCTAAATTGTATTTGATACTGTCTTTACCTCAGTTCTCATAAAAATTCAGAGAAACTGGAAAAGATCCCAGAATCAGGATGTCAGCAAATGCCAAAGTCTCCATCTAGCAAAGCCTTTGAATCCATGCATCAAAATAGGAGTAACATCAATAAGGACCTACTGTATAGCACAGGAAACGCTACTCAATATTCTGTAATAACCTATATAGGAAAAGAATCTGAAAAAGAATGAATATATGTGTATGTACAACTGAACCACTTTGCTGTAACCTGAAACTAACACAACATTGTCAACCATATTTAAAAAAAAAAAAAGTAACACCCCAGAGCTTAGCTATAAGTCGGGTGGGTTAAATGGGAAGGCCTGTGTATATGGCATTTAGCTTGATATCTGGCATATCAGACATTGGTTCTTAGCAAATGTTAGTCAAATTTGAATATGATTTTCCCACATGGGATGCAAATGACTGTGTGGGCTCTAGAGTCTAGATTTTCCCACATGGGTTGCAAATGCAACCTTGAAGAAATCTTCCTAACCTCCTACCTGCCTACCTTTTTCACAGGGCAGGGGTGAGAATTAAGCATTTTGGATGCTCACGAAAATGGTAGTTCCCTGCCCCCTGTAACTGGGGGCAGTTCGGGGGAAGGATAGGGGGGTTTCATACTTTTATTACTTTTTTGTCATGCAAAGTTGAGGAGAGCTTCCGAGGAGTCTCAAAGACAACTACAAAAACCCCTTTGTTCTTGTGTCATAAGCACTGCTTGTTGCACTATTCTTAATGCCCTTTTATCAGCCTACCTGGAGCCCAGCTGAGAGAAGCAGAACAGGGTCCCCCAGGGAGGGAGGGTGGATGGTGGCAGGGAGGGTGTCAAGTCATTCAGCCTCCATAGCCTTAAGTAGTTTAAGCATCTGGCCTGGGGTCGCATACCAGTAATGTAACCTTCAGTGTTCTGCGCAGGCTCACATAGTGCTTCTCTACCTTCCTGGGTGGGGTGGCAACTGAAAGCATGGCCTATCTGCCCAGAATAGACTTGTCTTTGGGTGGTGCTGATGCTGTTTTGGTTTGATTACCTAGGCCCCCTGCAAAATCATGTAGAGAAGGGATACTGTCAGCAAGTAGCAGAGTGAAAACAACAAGGTTGGCAAAAATGTGCAGCTTTATCCCATTACTGTGAGTTTTGACAACATAGTAACTAAAAACCTAGATTAAGGCCAACAGGTTTTGCTCTGCTTTGTTTTTCTTGAGAACTAAAAACAGTAATTTACTAGTCTACTTGCCTGGTTCTATATGTGCCCCAATGAGCACCCCTGATTATGAAATCACTCTTGGCACCAACACTTACAGCCAAGCAAGGGAGTCTGATGGGTGCATAGATTAGAAGAAACCTTGTGGTTGCCTCTTCTCAAGAAGAATAACCTTTGCTTAGACCACAGGGATAAGCCAGCATCAGAAAAAAATTTGAGAGGAGAGGGAGCAGGGAGCTGGCTGAAGGGTTTGTAGCCATGGATACAGGTAAAGAACCCTAATCCTTTCTTCTTTTGCAGGGCACTTTTCATGTCTGTAATATGAAAATGTAATAGAGTATGTACAGTATATATATGTGGGTGTCTTTCTCCTCTATGCATCTTTCTCCTATAAGATTGGAAGCGCCTCAGAGGGAGGGCTTGCTCTGTGTTACATCTGTTTCCTGTCCCCAAGGCCTGGCCTGGCACATGTAGTAGCTATTCTTTGGATGAGTATAGTTTCAAGTCAAACCTCCGCTCCTGCCTAGTAGCTCCCTTTTTTGTGAGCCATTTCTCTGTGTGTTTTCTCATCTGAAGAACACATGTCACATGGACCTTGTGTTCATACCTCCCTGTGTCTCTGGACCCGGTTTGTTCATACAGCTATATTGAAGCTGATAGCTTCAGCCAAGCATGATGTCTGGAACTGTGATCAGTACTCCAGGGGTGGCTTCACCAGTCCAGGATATAAAATGACCATCATTTCCAGAGTCTGGATACTCTATTTCCATTAACTAATTATTATTTATTATTTCAGATTTAGAGTAATAATGTATACCCTGCTTTGACAGGGTTTTTGTGAGGACCAAGTGAAGTGATATATATGAAATTACTTCAGAAACTATAATGTTTTGTACAGCCAAACAGTGATTATTATTGCTGGCCCAAATGTATCTTCCTGAGAAAACTTAAGTTTGAAGGAAGATGAAGACCAAGTGTTACAAAACGTGTGCAACTACCATTATACAGGAGAGGTCATTTCCCAAGTTAATTTTTCATGAAACACACACACACATCTCCTTGGTCCTCTCTCTGCCAGCTGTCTAACACAAGGCAATTAATATTTGGGTATTGCAAAAGCTATTGACCATTGAGTTTTGAGTCATGGCTTTTAGTCCTGCCTTGCCCCTGCCTCGCTGAGGTTATCATGGACAAGTCTTTGAAGTTCTCTGCCAAATGACAGTATCTATTTTATGAAGGTAAAATAAGACTTGAATATTAGAAACAAGAATATTGGTAGCCCTACAGATATATAAATATGATCACATCCACATATATTTTTCTTTCCAGATCCAGTCCCTCCAATTACCTTGGCTCCTCCCCATATGACATGGCCTCTACCCTCCGCCCTATCCTGGGCACTCCCCTCTGCATATATTTTAGTATGTCTTATAGCCTTCTTAAAGGAAGTTCCCAATGCTGAACTTATAATACTTTATTGTATCTTGCATTTGTACACTACAGTTACTACTAAGATTTAAGTATTATCAGTTTGTATTTTCTCACACTTGAACATATTATTTCCTGTCTCTTGATCCACAAGGTTTAAGCTAAGTTCTGAAGTTGAAAGTAACTTCTCGTTTTTCTTTGTCTTCTAGTGACAGACATCACACCTCCAGTGCAATCCCTGTTCCAAAGAGACAAAGCTCCATATTTGGGGGTGCAGATGTAGGTTTCTCTGGGGGGATCCCTTCACCAGACAAAGGATACCGGAAACGGGCCAGCTCAGAGAATGAGAGACTCCAGTACAAGACCCCTCCCCCCAGTTACAACTCTGCACTAGTCCAGCCTGTGACCCCTGTGCCCTCCACGGGGGAATCTGACAGAAAGACTGCGTCTCTGTCTTCCTCCTTGGACACCTCCTTGGACCTCTCCAAAGAAAACAAGAAAAAAGGGGTAGATCTGGGCAACAGCTTAAATGGAGGCCACGTGAGTGTGAACACTAGCCAGGAGCAGGGACAAGCCCTCTCGGGGCCTCCAGCCACAGTCAACGGCACCCTTCTGCCCAGCGAGCAGGCCAGCTCCTCCGGCGCCCCGCTCCCGGGGGGCTTCCACCCAGTCTCGGAAGCCGAGCTCTGCTGCACCGTGGAGCAAGCAGAAGAAATCATCGGAATGGAAGCCACAGGCTTCACCTCAGGCGATCAGCTGGAAGCATTTAACTGCATCCCCGTGGACAGTGCCGTGGCAGTGGAGTGTGATGAACAAGTTCTGGGAGAATTTGAAGAGTTCTCCCGAAGGATCTATGCACTGAACGAAAACGTATCCAGTTTCCGCAGACCACGCAGGAGTTCTGATAAGTGAAGCGAGTGGACAGATGGTAGGACCTGGATGGAGTCACTGCTTGAAATGAGGATAAAGCTGCACTGGTTACCCTTTGTAGTAATTATGACACAAAATGAATATTAATGGAGGATATTCCTCAGAAAAATAGACTTTGTGAATCAAGGAGGGACTCAGGATCATTGTGTATCAATGGGCCAGACAAAGTTAGATTTTGCTTCCAAGATTTTGCTTTTCAGGCCTGACAGTTGTTTTAAGGCAAAAGTCACTCTCTAGCTTGAGTCACCTTATAGGCATTTGTCTGCTTTTTTATTTACACTTATATGTTATCCTCAGAGGGAAGATGATAATATATAAATAATATAATGAACTCGCCTTTAGATTCTCAATAGCATTTGCCCTCACCATAGTTTATGAAACTTTTGGGAAAATTGAATATTCAGTAAAAGGTCTCCACCATTGACTGAAGGATCTTTGGCCATCCATCAGGTTGATGAGTAAGAAGCACAATGGTCTCCTATACAAAGGCCCATTGGCCTCTGCCCCCAGACTCCACAGTCAGCCTAGCTGTTATGCCATTGGCGCAGTAGATGCCTTGTGCATCCTGACCACAGAGGACATCACATTCGCTAGTTCTTTAATGCAGTTGCCGTGACCTCCCACCTCTTTCAGTCAGCCATACCCTTGATGCAGCCCTCAGATTATCTGAAAAACCTCACCTCTGGAGGATCCCTCTGGGGGCCAGAGTTTTTATGTGGGCAGATGCTGTTGTCAAAAACTGGCTGTGCTTTCTGGCAATGCTCTCACCGTATAGAAACCCCTATATGTAAATCCCATGTTAATTTATTAAATTTCAGTTAGAAAGGAGGCATTGTGTATGATGAAATATACGTAGGGAGTCAGGCTGTCCAGTGTGCAAACTGCAAGGCAGTTGATGTAGTTGGATTCAGAGACTAGATGAGGCATAGAATACTATTGGTATGTGTGCAATTGCATAAATATTAAATTATGTTTTTGAAGTTCATTTTCATTCCTGGAGCTCAGATTTCATTTGCTATTGTTGTATACTTTATATACCCAAGGACATCGCCTCAGGGTTGCAAGCTCTTTAAGGAGATTTTATGCTTATATCTATGTATTATATAGAAGAATAAAAATTGAGTTTACTTCACTCAACCTGATTTTTTCCCAACTTTGAAATTCCTCTTGAACCTACATCTCCATATGTTACATCATGACAGGACCACCCTGAGCAAAACCTGTGGCTGTATCTAAGCTAATGTTGACTTCATTTGAGTTTACATATTGTATATAGCAACACACCATCACAGGTGTACTCTGCAATAGCTCATTCATCCTACATAACAATTTAACTCATAGGTTTCATAATCATTGTCATACTTCGTCCAAGCATTCCTGGGCTCAGTTTTAATATATAGCTACATTGTTAAATGGAATAGTTCATGTTGTTATTTTTTCATGTAAAGAACTCACAGAATCATTGCATGACAGACAGACCCAACTTGCAAGCAATTAAAAGCTTTAACTTGATCTGAAGAAATCCATCTTATTTCTCATAAATAGGTGGAACCACTCCAAACCTGGAGCAGAAGCCATCTGTAGAGTCATGGCTTCTTTGACAGTGTACTGTCATTCATCTTAGAGTCAGTAAGGGTGGGGCTAGACATGGTCTTAGATGTACATCCTACTGGGCTGTGGGTCCTCCAGTGAAGCAACATCTACCTCCCAAGCCCAGAAGAAAGGCTTTGAAGGACTCTGTTAGTATTGAACAACAGAAGGTGAATCACATGTGATTTGTGGTTCTTCAGATATGGGAGAGACCTTTAAACTCCATGCCAAGCTCAAAGACAAGGTACATTCGATATAGGCCCTGCAGCCTGGCTCCTGGCACCACCAAGCAGAGTGACCACATATAGGAGCACCCATGTTTTACAGTGTTCATCTCAGGTTCCACAAAACCAAGTAGAGCCTGGAGCTCTGGGATTTTGTCAGTCAGTCTCCCATTTATGGACTCCCTGATTCTGGGGTTCACAGCTTTTCACCCCCACAGCATGGAACCCCACCACTGAATGTGATCAGGTAGCCCAGAACTGATGGATGGTTACCTGCACATTTTCCTGATCTACACTGTGTCCAATGATATTATGCCTCAAAACACCACTTGTAGGTTTGGGTTTGTTTAGATTTGGGGTTTTCATTGAGTTTTTTTTTTTTTATGTCTGCAGCTTTTGCCATACTTGGATATATATAAATCCTGCAACATTACATTCTCCAGGAATAAATCTCTGACATTTCCCAAAGCTGCAGAATTCATTTTGCCTCTGTTTAAAGTGGCCAAGGCCAAAATATGGGATGAAGTTATTATCTCCTACTAATCTTTGTAATTATTCTTGTAAACCACTAAAAAAACAAAATTGCTTTGAGAATATAAGTTGAAATGAAAACTCAGTCCTGTCGATTTCTGAACTGCTAAGGGCCCTTTCAGTTTTCATGTAGCCAAAACACTCTTAACAGCCAGCAAATGTTATCAGAGGAATATTTGCTCGTGTTTTCTCTCTCTACTTCCCCGTTACCCACTTTAAAAATTCCAGAGATTTTTTTCCCCCCAGAATATTAGTTTTGGAAGATTGTATCCAACTATATTTTTTTAGCAGTTCTAATGGTGCCCATTTATCCTGACCTAACTGGTTATTTAAATAATTTTTTAAACCACCACCAATAATAAATGGCATGTGAAACTGATCTGTTGGTAATTGGAGGAAAAGTCAGCATCTGTATTTATAAAATAAAATTGATTAGTATTTATTTTGAGAGTAAAACTGTATGTTATTTCCCTGTGATGTTTGAGTCCTGTCTTCTTCATTGTTTTGAATTTCATACTAAAGCGGAGTTAACTATGAAAACCTCATTCTTAAACAGTCTGCCAGCCATTCCACATTTACTGAACTAGCCCCCCTTCCACTTTGAAAGGGACTGGACTAAACAAATTTATATGAAAATTAATCAACCTTGACCCCTGCCACAGTCCCCAGTTGGGAGTGGGGGAAGGAAGGGTGGCATAGGTAAATTAACAATTAAGTACAATTCAGTGTGGTAAATTCTATGATGGAGAGATGTCTAGCCATGCTACAGAATTCAGAGGAAGTTATTCTGACTCAAGGATTAAGAAAGGGTCATGAAGTTAATACAGATGAAAGATGTATAAGACTTCACATTACAGATGGAGGGAACAGCATGGGCAAAGGCCCAGAGGCAGGGCAGGGCCGCATGCATATTTGCAAAACTGCAAGGAGTTTGCTGTGCTTGGGCCCTGAATGGATGTGAGGAAAGGTAAGAGGAGAAATTGAATTGTAGGCCCATGGGGGAAGGACTTAGGATAAAAAGTGAAGAGATCTGGATGCATGCTATGGAAAACTGACCAGTAACCTTTCCAGTCTTTAAAACAGAAGAGTAACTTGTTTAGATGTGAATTATAACTAGCAGCCAAGTTGAAGCTGGACTCAAGTGATACTCTTCTTAATCTTCTTCTATACCATTTAGTTTCGGGGGGAAAAAAAAAGCCTCTGTCTGAAAAAAAAGTTCATCCTTGTGTTCCTAATGGTTTCAGGGTAAGGAATGAATAATGAACTGGATTTTTACCATGTGGTACAAAGGGCAGCTAGCATCTATTCTTTAGAAGCTAGATTCTGAATGCCCCAACTCAGCCACTTTGACGTTAAGACTCTGGTCAAGTCACTGAACTAAGGACTCCTCAGTTCTTAATCTGTAAAGAATTGAAGAGAACTCTGCCATCATGTTTGTATAGGACCTACACCATCAATGTTGGTTCCTTTTTGTCCTGTGGGAGACCATCGCCTAGTGACAGAAAGGATACCTGAAACTTGTTATCACCATTTCTTGTTCTAGCACTTGAGCCCAGCCATTTCTCTGAATCTGGCTCTTAATCTGTCATGTGGGGATGATACCTCACACCAGTTAGAATGGCTGTCATCAAAAAGTCTACAAACAATAAATGCTAGAGAGGGGGTGGAGAAAGGGAACCCTGCTACACTGTTGGTGGGGAGGTAAATTGGTACAGCCACTATGGAGAACAGTATGGAGGTTCCTTAAAAAACTAAAAACAGAGTTATAATAATGATCCACCAATCCCACGCCTGGACATTTATCTGAGAAAACCATAATTTGAAAAGAGTCATGTACCCAGATGTTCATAGCAGCTCTATATACAATAGCCAAGACATACGGACACAACCTAAATGTCCATCAACAAGATGTTCATTACTCAGTCATGAAAAATGGCATTTGCAGCAACATGGATGGACCTATAGATTATCATACTAAGTGAAGTAAGTTAGAAAAAGGCAAGTATCATAGGATATCACTTATATGTAGAACCTAAAAAAATGACACAACTTATCTGTGTCAGAATCACAGATGGAGAAAGCACAGTTGCCAGGCTATATAGGAGTGGGGAGGGATAAACTGGGAGATTGGGATTGATGTATACACACTACTTTGTGACCCCACGGACTGTAGCCCTCCAGGCTTCTCTGTCCATGGGATTTACCAGGCAAGAATACTGGAGTAGGTTACCATGTCCTTCTCCAGGGGATCTTCATGACCAAGGGATCGAACCCATGTCTCCTATCTTCTGCATTGCAGGCAGATTTTCTACCCACTGAGTCATCAGGGAAGCCCATATATAAAATAACTAATAAGGACCTATGGTATAGTACAGGGAACTCAATAACTCTGTAACGGCCCATCTGGGAAAATAAAGAATGGATGTGTGTATAACTGATTCACTTTGCCGTGCACCTGAAACTAATACAACATTGTAAATCAACTACACTCAATAAAAAAACATTTTTAAAGTAGGAATGATACCCACCCCTCTAACCTCTCTAAACCTCTCCCCACCCCACAACCCGGTACTGGATAGAGTGTAAGACGTGGTCAGTATTTTTATGAAACACTTGATCTTTACAAAGCACCATGCACATAGGGAGGAATTAGTCATTCAACAAGGATTTCTTACAACATATACATCAGACTTTGAAATGGAGATCTCCATTCTGTACACATTAAGAATGTATCTGGGCTGAAACTGCTCTTTTGAAAAACTAAGCTCTAAACAAATGTCAAGAGTTCCGAAGTATATTGGTGGGTGGCATGGACACAGTGTTGAGATATGGTCTATAAACCTAATTAGCTTAATTTTCATGGTTTTTTAACACCTGGCAGATGAGTTTCTTTAGGCCACCTTATCCATACATATTCTCTCTCACAGCTTCTGGCTGCTTCACTGAACCCTAAACCGGTGCCCAGAGCTCTTAATTTCACTCAAAGCAGATAGAGGCTTTCTTTTTTTTTTCCCCCCCTCTTAGCATATCTAATTATAGTTTTGTAGGTAGACAGCTCAGCCTTGTGGATTTTAAATGAATAAAAAAAAATACATGTCTATAAAATAATTCCACAATTTTTTTAGAGACTGGCAATGTCAGCAATCCAGAAAAAGAGTGGTCATGAATCTAGATTAAAAAGACAGTCAGTTGAAGAAATATTAATAGCTCTAGTCAGCCAAGCCCAGAACTACAAGGGGGAGAGTGCAGGCTCTTAGCCTTTGGTTTTGTACAGAACACAAATCTAATGAACTTATTTCTCTTTAGTCCCCGTTAAAGTACAAGCAAACCACTCCAGTATTCTTGCTGTGAGAACCCCATGAAAGTATAAAAAGGCAAAAAGATAGGACACTGAAAGATGAGCCCCCCAGGTTGGGAGGTGTCCAATATGCCACTGGGGAAAAGCAGAGGGCAATTATTAATAGCTCCAGAGAGAATTAAGTGGCTGAGCCAAAGTAGAAACCACGCCCAGTTGTGGAGGTGTCTGGTGGTGAAAGTAATATGTGATGCTGTAAAGAACAATATTGCATAGGAACCTGGGATGTTAGGTCCATGAATCAAGGTAAATTGGATGTAGTCAAGCAGGAAATGGCAAGAGTAAACAACATCTTAGGAATCGAATCAGTGAACTAAATGGACAGGAATGGGCGAATTTAATTCATAATGGCCATTATATCTACAACTGTGGGCAAGAATTCCATAGAAGAAATGGAGTAGCCCTTATAGTCAACAAGAGAGTCCGAAATGCAGTACTTGTGTTCAGTCTCAAAAACAATAGAATGATCTTGGTTCATTTCCAAGCAAACCACTCAACATCACAGTAATCCAAGTCTATGCCCCAACCACTGATGCCAAAGAAGCTGAAGTTGACCAGTTCTATGAAGACCTACAAGACCTTCTAGAACTAACACCAATAAAAGATACCCTTTTCATTACAGGGGATTAGAATACCAAAGCAGGAAGTCAAGAGATACCTGGAGTAACAGGCAAGTTTGATCTTGAAGTACAAAATGAAGCAGGGCAAAGGCTAACAGAATTTTGCTAAGAGAAAACACTGGTCATAGCAAACACCCTTTTCCAACAACGTGAGATCACTCTATACATGGGCATCACCAGATGGTCAATAGCAAAATCAGATTGATTATATTCTTTGCAGTCAAAGATAGAAAAGTTCTATACAGTCAGCAAAAACAAGACCTGGAGCTGACTATGGCTCAGATCATCAGCTCCTTATAGCAGCATTCATGCTTAAACTAAATAAAGTGGGGAAGACCACCAGGCCATTTTCAGGGATGACCTAAATCAAATCCCTTATGATTATATAATGGAAGTGATGAACAAATTCAAGGGATTAGATCTGATAAACAGTGCCTAAAGAACTATGGGCAGAGTTTCATAACACTGTACAGGAAGCAATGACCAAAAACATCCCCAAGAAAAATGGGACTTCCTTGGTGGTCTAGTGGTTAGGATCCCATGCTCCCAATGCAGGGGTCCCAGGTTCATTTCCTAGTCAGGGAACTAGATCCCATATGCCACAACTAAAGATCCTGCAGGCTGTAACTAAGACCCAGTGCAGCAAAATGAAAAATAAATAAATATTTAGAAAAAGAAAAATGTAAGAAGGCAAAGTGGTTATCTGAGGAAGATTTACAAATAACTGAGGAAAGAAGAGTAGCAAAAAGCAAGGGAGAAAAGGAAAGATACACCCAACTGACCTGCAGAGTTCCAGAGAATAGCAAGGAGAGATAAGAAGGCCTTCTTCAATGAACAATGCAAAGAAATAGAAAAAAAAAAAAAAGCAGTAGAATGGGAAAGACTAGACATCTCTCTGAGAAAAGTGGATATATCAAAGAAACATTTCATGCAAGGATGGACATGATAAAAGAAAGAATCTAACAGAGGCAGAAGAGATTAAGAAGAGGTGACAAGAATATAAAGAAGAACTGTACGAAAAAGGTCTTAATGACCGGCATAACCACAAAGGTGTGGTCACTCACCTAGAGCCAGACATCTTGGAGTATGAAGTCAGGTGGGCCTTAGGAAGCATTACTACCAATAAAGCTAGTGGAGGTAATAGAATACCAGCCAAGCTATTTAAAACCCTAAAAGATGATGCTATTAAAGTGCTGTACTCAATATGTCAGCAAATTTGGAAAACCCAGCAGTGGCCACAGGACTGGAAAAGGTCAGTTTTCATCCCAATTCCCAAGAAGGGCAATGCTAAAGAATGTTCAAACTATCAGACAATTGCGCTCTCTTTCCATGCTAGTAAGGTTATGCTCAAAGTCCTTCAAGCTAGGCATTAGCAGTACTTGAATTGAGAACTCCCAGATGTACCATCTGGGTTTAGAAAAGGCAGAGGAACCAGAAATCAATCAAATTGCCAACATTCACTGGATC